TTTATCCACTGGGCATGTTCCAACTTCTACTTAAACTCAAGGCATATGTTGGAACTATTTGAAGGAACACAACCACAACACATGAACATAAGGAAGTCTTCTGCAAATACGGCTTCCATTTTGGTAATGTATTTTCTTTTCTAGGTGTGGTGCATAAGCAGCCATGCTTTTCATTATAGCTACAGCCCTTATTTTCCTCCCAGCACCCAATCAGATCTAAATTTAGTATAAACTTACATAAACAACACTATTAGGAAAATATATGTGAGAATTATTAGTCTGGAAAATGTCCAAGGTTGAAATCGAGTGTCAGTTTAGTATCTCCATTGCTGCCTCATGCTTGCAGCCATAGCATTGACCCCACAGCGGAACCCGAGCAAGAGAAAAGCCTCAAGCCCTTAATCTTTCCTGGGCTTTCTGGGTGCCTCTGTCACTTGACCTTCTCTGCCTCCTGCCAAGCCCCTGGGGTCACCTCGGAGCTGCAGAAACTCTGCCTTCATGTTGACCTTTTCCCTCCATGTGACCCAGCTAGACAGAGAGGTGCTGCATGAAAGAGAGAGGGTCACCTTCTGTCCACAACCACAGCCTTGGTTCCCACATCTATCAATTGGGAGGTTCCCTGAGGAAGAAGCAGGCCTGGAGCTGGAGGTCACGAGGCTTCTAAACACACGATGGCAACTCTCACCTCCAATGGGAATCCATGCTCCTTTATGATGGACAGGGCTGGTGCTGAAGCTCATCAGGAACAAATGGAGGGATTGGTGGTCATCATCTCACAAGGACTACAATGGGAAGAAGACAGAACGCTTAACTCTTTCTTGCTCCTAAAGTCCTATTTACACATTAAGGTATATGTCTAGGATATTGAAGTCTAAACAACTGAATTACCCGTCCTCCCTTGCAGAATACTGTTGGGAATCTGTGTTTGTGTTTCAGGATCCTGATGTGGGAAATGATGGTGCCGAGGCTGTGGGAAATGATCATCATCATCATCATCATCATCATCATCATCATCATTAATAACTTATTAATTGCCCTCCATCCGAGAATGCTCTAGGCGATTTACAGCTAAATTACAAAAGATAAAATACATACATACAAAAATTAAAAATCAACAGAGATCGAATGCTCTAGTAAAAAGCCAGGTCTTAAGTGCGAGAGTAAAAGGCCCTAAGTCACGCATGGCTCTCATGTAGGGCGGCAAGGAATTCCACAAGGCAGGGGCAGAAATAGAAAAAGCCCTGCGTCTGGTCCTTTCCAAGTGCACTTCTCTAGGACCCGGTATATGGAGTAAGTCACGTTGGGCTGGTCGTTGCGACCTCCGATGATGGGAGAAGGAGAGGCGGTCCCTAAGGTATGATGGACCCTGGCCGTAAAGAGTTTTAAAGGTCAGAACTAGCATCTTATACAGGCCACGGTACTCAGTTGGAAGCCAATGTAAATGTTGCCACACTGGTGTTATATGGCATTTCATGGGCGTTCTTGTGAGTAACCTGGCTGCTGCATTCTGAACAATACGAAGTTTTTGGGTCGTAGACATCGGAAGGCCCACATACAGGGCGTTGCAATAGTCCAGCCTAGACATGACCGTGGCATGGATGACAGTTGCCAGAGCCTCGTCAGATAGGTAGGGTGCCAGTTGCCTCGCTTGTCGTAGATGGGAAAAGGCCTGTTTGCTGGCAGCAGCGACCTGAGCTTCCATTGTCAGCTGTGAATCCAAAACGACACCTAAGCTCTTAACAGTGGTCGATGGAGATAGGGCGGCACCATCGAAGGTGGGTAATGGAGGTCAGACCTGCCGGGCGGCCATGCCAGAGAATCTCAGTCTTCGCCGGGTTCACCTTCAGTCTGCTAGCACGTAGCCAGTTTGACAGAGCTTCCAGACATAGGGTGAAATTGTCTGGAACTGACGTTGCTCCAGGCTCCAGGCGCAGAAGGAGTTGGGTATCGTCTGCATATTGGTAGCAGTCCAGGCCGAAACTCCGAGCCAAACTAGCAAGGGGTCTAACGTAGATGTTGAAGAGAAGAGGAGAGAGAATTGCACCTTGGGGGACCCCACATAGGAGGGGGGATCTATCGGAGACTTGATCCATGTACTCCACGCGTTGACTCCAGTTCCGGAGAAATGAGTTGAACCAATTGAGGGCCTGACCACGAACTCCGGACATGGCAAGATGGTGAATCATTAGATCGTAGTCGAGGTAGAAGACGGAGATGGTTTTGGTCAATGATTTTCATATAGACAATGGCAGAGAGGGCTCAGTGCAAAGGGCAGTTTCTCATGAGAATATCTGTTCTGTTGCGTGCTGGGCCTATAAAGAATTTCCTTTAGAACAGGATATGCAACCTTTGCCCAGCGGGAAGCCAGGGGGCCCAAGGAGAAGTTCTCAGAGGTTTTCCACCACAAATGATCTTTAGATGGCTTGTGAAGTATAACAAAGTCTTTTATTAATGAACAATCAAACAGAAACTTCTCTTGTCTTCAATAAAGCTAAGCAAATGCTTCCAAGCTTTATGCAACTGGTAACTTCCTAATCTTGCCCACGAAGGACAGGCAACTGTCTTCAATAACTTCTTCTTTACTTTAAAGGAAAATCCCCTTTTAAATTCTCCCAGGCTGACTGTAATCTAACCCTTACTGATGTGGGCTCTGCTACCGGGTCGAACTGTGTCTCGAAGCACCGAGTGGACCTACCAGTAAAGGCTTAGATATTCTCCAGCTGGAGTTCTTTGGTCTTCCAATCTGTTACTCTCTGAAATTCTTCAAAGCTTTAGGGCTGTTTCCTTGGAAATCTTTAGAATCTTTGGAGGCTCTTAAGACTGTTCTCCCCCGGAAAGTCTTAAGGGTTGAAGCTTTTGTACAGGGGAAGCTTGCACACGTCCTGTACATTAGCTTTCCTTACTGAGCCTAACTAAAAATGGCTCCCTTTCCCAATTGCCCTGAGCAAGGGGCGGAACCAAAACTTAATGATGATGGACAGGTGACTCCTCTGTTGCGACAGCTCCACTGGCTGCCAGTTTGCTACCGGACACAATTCAAAGTGCTGGCGTTAGCCTATAAAGCCCTAAACGGTTCTGGCCCTACTTACCTCTCCGAACGCATCTCCTCCTATGAACCAACCAGGACACTAAGATCGTCTGTGGAAGCCCTGCTCTCGGTCCCGCCTGGATCGCAGGCAGGGACGAGAGACAGGGCCTTCTCAGTGGTGGCCCCTCAGCTGTGGAATGCCCTACCTGCAGACATCAGATCGGCCCCCTCTTCTCAGTGGTGGCCCCTCAGCTGTGGAATGCCCTACCTGCAGACATCAGATCGGCCCCCTCGCTGTTGGCGTTTCAGAGGAAGGTGAAGACCTGGCTATTCGAACAAGCATTTGACTAAACAGTGAAATTGAACATAGGAATACGGAACAATGGATAATGAGAGTGGATTCTGATTTTATTGTTGAGGCGTTATGATTGTTATACTGTTGTTAATTGTTGATGTTATAATCTGTTTTAATTGCATTATACTGTTTTGTGATATTTTGCATTGTTGTGTAAACTGCTTTGAGTCTCCTAAGGGTGTGGATATGTATATGTCTGTGCATGTGTATATGTTTATACGGAACAATGGATAATGAGAGTGGATTCTGATTTTATTGTTGAGGCGTTATGATTGTTATACTGTTGTTAATTGTTGATGTTATAATCTGTTTTAATTGCATTATACTGTTTTGTGATATTTTGCATTGTTGTGTAAACCGCTTTAGTCGCCTAAGGGCTGAGAAAAGCGGTATAGAAATAAAGTAAATAATAATAAACAATAATTTACTTTCTTTACCAGCCAGAAAGGAGAAGAAGAAATACAGGGGCCTTCTTGGAAACGGAGGATTCTCAGTTCTGCTCTTGGACGAACCAGGCAGCATGGCTATATGTGTTAGCTGCTTGGTGGAGGGGAAAAGAGGCTGTGTTTAATGAGGAGATGCTAAATGGGCAGCACCGCTAATAAGGGGTAGGAATGATAGATGGCTGGTGTGTTCACCAGTTCAATGGGAACGCATTTCTTCAGGGCTAATGATGTTTGTTAAATCTGTTTGAGTCAATTAAAAAAAGCACAGGGAAACAAGTAGGAGAAAAGTGGGGAGCGCAGTGGGGTGGGAGACCAGAGGACAGGAAAACAGCAGCAAGGAGGGCAGCAATAAAGACAAGAGGGATTTTCTGCACCAAAGTGATGAAATAATTGGCACCGAGCGCAATAAATGTAATTGTAACCATCCCGAGCACATTGTGCCTTTGTGACAAATGAAAATGTCGCAGGCCCCCTTCAAGGCGCACGGTTTCCCCCGGCCAGGTTGACAAAAGGAGCAGCCGACAAGCGGTTAAATCTATCAGGGGATGGTCAATTTTGTTTGAAAACACTCTTTTCTCTCCCTCTTCCATCCCCACCCAGAAGCCCTTGCAAAGCAGTGAGCTTTCTTTTATGCAGTCAATCTCCCCTCACCAGGATGGCTGGAACTCAACTTTTTCCTTGCCTGGTCTCCAAAAAAAAAAAAAAAAGGGGGGGGGGAGAAAGTGTGAGAGAGGGAAGGTATTTTTCATGAAATAAGTGAATGTGAGAGAGAGAAAGAAGGAAAGAAGAATGTGTCAAGAAAGCATGAGAATGAAAAATTTTGCCTGGCCTGCAAAGAAACTTTCTCTTTTCCCCATTGATCATTTTGCCTAGTTTTCACTATATTGTAGTGTATGCGTGTGAGGGGTGGAAAGAGGGGGACCCTACCCACCGATGCCCCCCTCCCCACCTTCTGATGTCACAGATGGTGCAGAGGAGCAGCCTGCTCACAGCATGGGGCCTATATGCTTGCCTCCCCCATTGTTCGCCCCGTTAAAAAAGAAGGGAGAAAGTACAAAAGCAGTTGGAAAACATGCTTAATAACAAATTCCAAATAATTTCCCAAACAGAAGGGCTTGAGCTAAGCAGAGAGGGAGAGCTGTGCAGGCACAGAGGGAGACAGAGAGAGAATAAGAAACAGGGGGAGGCAAAACCTGCCCCCAAGGCTCCTTGGGCATTTGGACAAGAATTTCTTTCGATGCCTTGAATGCTACCAGAGGGGAGCTGGGTTTTCCCCCCATTTCAGCCAGCCACCTCTCCCTTGGCGCCTTTTTCCACTGCAGGATGTTGCCTGGGGTCCTCCTGCTGGGTTTTGCATCCCTCCCGTGGGTTTGGGGCTCTCAGAGATGCCAATGCCGCTGCACCTGCCTCCCGGAGCCCGCGGAAAAGGCCCTGCAGGTGTCACCACGCAGGCAGAGCCGGCACCTGCGGCACAGCCACCCACTTAGGCAGAGGCACAGGCTGAGAGGTAAGAAACACCCCAAACATCTCTTCCAAATAATAATTAAGATGCATGGAATAATGACGCAGAGTCCAGAATTGTCTTGCCTTGGTGGCATCTCTACCTGTCTAGTCTTGCATCACATCTTGGTCTACTTAGGATTTCAGAACCAAGATAAGAGGCAAGGGAGAGGATGTGTTTGCCGTTCATTCAGTTGGCACTTTCTAAAAAGAATGATTTTGGTTTTCAATGAGACATTACGGCTCTATGAAGAGTGATATTCATTATGGACTTGAGTTTCGCACCTTGATCTTGCATTCTAGTGCAGAGTGACTCTGCACTAGAGTCACTCTGACATGTATTAAGGCTGAGAGGGGATATGATAGCCATGTATAAATATGTGAGAGGAAGCCACAGGGAGGAGGGAGCAAGCTTGTTTTCTGCTTCCCTGGAGACTAGGACGCAGAACAACGGCTTCAAACTACAAGAGAGGAGATTCCATCTGAACATGAGGAAGAACTTCCTGACTGTGAGAGCCGTTCAGCAGTGGAACTCTCTGCCCCAGAGTGTGGTGGAGGCTCCTTCTTTGGAAGCTTTTAAACAGAGGCTGGATGGCCATCTGTCAGGGGTGATTTGAATGCAATATTCCTGCTTCTTGGCAGGGGGTTGGACTGGATGGCCCATGAGGTCTCTTCCAACTCTTTGATTCTATGATTCTATGACTCAGGGAAGTATAGAAATGCATGGTGCCACAGGAAAGGAACTAAGAATGGCAAGAGGAGGTGTATTTTTTTTTAGTTTTTGTATGTGTCGCTGGTTGTTCTGCAGGATTTGAAATATACTGTTGTGTCTTCAGGGCAGAAACAAAGATGATAGCACAGGCAAAGGAAATATTCATTTAGAACAATCAAAAGGAGAGGATTGAGTAGAGTTGATTTAGTGGCAACCTCAATGAGCTTACCAGTGTTCTCAGATTTGGACCTGCCCTCATTTGAAGAGAGGCAGCACATTTTGGATGTCATAGGATCATAGAATCAAAGAGTTGGAAGAGACCTCATGGGGCATCCAGTCCAACCCCCTGCCAAGAAGCAGGAATATTGCATTCAAATCACCCCTGACAGATGGCCATCCAGCCTCTGTTTAAAAGCTTCCATGAAAGGGCAGCCTAACTGTCTGTTATTTCCTCTCTCCCTGTTGCATGTTTCTTGCTTGAGACAGTTACAGGTGGTCACTGGATTTTCTCCCACATATGCCCAAACAAGTGGTCTGATTCTGCATGCTCTGCCTCTTGACTTGGAAAGTAGGATAGGGTGAGGAGTGCCCTTTGCTCCTCTTCTTCAGGCAGCAAGTTCTCTTGGACCAACTTGGAGGGTTTTCATTTTCTTGTGTGTTTTTTCTCCCTGGAAGAAAGGTTTCCAGAAAAAGAAAGCTTTTTCTGACATTGTGCAGAACTACCCTGTGACAGAACAGTGACATGTATGACCAGGGCCAGTTTACAATGTGCAGATTTTACAATGAGTTTGCATTGAGAACTTTGCCCTCACTTGTCGAAGGCTTTCATGGCCGGAATCACTGGGTGGCTGTGCATTTTTTGGGCTGCATGCCCATGTTCCAGAAGCATTCTCTCCTGATGTTTCACCCACAATTATGGCAGGCATCCTTAGAGGTTGAGGGGTCTGTTGAGTTCAAGAGTTTTTTCTCCCATCCTGGACATCATTCCACAGATATATAAACCTCACTTACTTAGTTTCCAACAGACCTCCTCCACCTCTGAGGATGCCTGCCATAGATGTGGGCAAAACATCAGGAAATAATGCTTCTGGGACATAGCCATACAGCCCAAAAAATGCACAGAAATCTACTTGCCATCACTGTTTTTGTTTTTCTGGAGAACCGTCAGACCCTTTATTTGTTTCTTAACTTTTCTGGGCAGAGTACTGACTACAAATCCTGTTGTGCTTGTCTCCATTTTAGTGCAGTTTTGCAAACAAACAGTATTTTCCTTAAACACATTTAAAAAAAAGTTTCTCGGTGAAATAATTAAGAGATGAATGACTACTAAGGAAAGGACAATGGTAAGGAAGCTACCATTTTCGCAGGGTTGAGAAGAAAGAGAGCCATGTGATGTGGAGTAGATTTTGTTTGTCTGTCCAGAGGCTGGATCTACACTGCTAAATAATGCAGTTTCAGAATACAGTTTGACTGCATTGAACTGGATTCTATGAGTCTACACTGCCATATAATCCTGTTTAATGCAGTTAAAGTGCAATCCGAAACTGCATTATTTGGCAGGTGGATTCAGCCTGAGAAGTATATTGAGGGTGGAGATTGTATTCGAAGATTGTATTCATCATACACGCAGTCGTATTTGCTAGAGCAGCGTTTCTCAACCTGGGGTCGGGACCCCTGGGGGGGTTGTGAGGGGGTGTCAGAGGGGTCACTAAAGACCATCAAAAAACGCAGTATTTTATGTTGGTCTTGGGGGTTCTATGTGGGAAGTTTGGCCCAATTCTATCATTGGTGGAGTTCAGAATGCTCTTTGATTTTAAGTGAACTAAAAGTCCCAGCAACTGCAATTCCCAAATGTCAAGGTCTATTTCTCCCAAACTCAACCAGTGTTCACATTTGGGTGTATTGAGTATCCGTGCCAAGTTTGATCCAGATCCATCATTGTTTGGATCCATAGTGCTCTCTGGAGGTAGTGGAACTACAACTCTAAAACCAATGCCCATCAAATCCTTCCAATATTTTCTGTTGGTCATGGGAGTTCTGTGTGCCAAGTTTGGTTCAATTCCCTCGTTGGTGGAGTTCAGAATGCTCTCTTTTTAATATAATTAAATTAATTAAATTAAAATATCAGAGGAAAGCAAATTCTGTGTCTCAAGTGAACTGACTCAAAACACAGGAAATTGTTTGTATCTATTAATTGCACAGAAAAAAACTACACAGTAATGATCATTTCTTGCTTGCTTTTGGAAACATAGGGTTTGTAATACATCAGTGCGAGTTCTAGTTTCCACCTCCTCCCACAACCCCAGGATTTTCTTCCTGGGATGACTACATACTATCCTGATTGAAAAACCAGGACCCTGAAACATATCCTGAAAGCCACAGCTCTGTAGATGTCCAGCAAATGGATTCCATGAAAACCTTTCTCCCAGTTTCAGGTGACTTCCCAATGAACTCACCAAAAGTTGAACAAGCATATAAATATCAGGGAATGTCTCAACATTTGGTTTAGAAAAAACATAATCCCCTCACAATGCCCTGAGAGCTACATGTAATGGAATTAAGCAGAGCCATGGAGCTTTCCCAGAATTTATCTAATTCTATCCCTGAGAACATTTCCTCATCCCAAATCAGACTCCTTCATTGAAGCTGTTGCCAACATCACTGACACACATAGTATGATCAGTTGATGAGCTGTTCCTGGCCAAGCAGGAACAGAGCCATCAAATCCCATAATCTCCAGCCCAGCCTCATCCTTTTCCTCCCATAACTCTTGCCTGGTTGGACCAAATACAGCCACTAGACCTCAAATCAAGCTATGAAAGTTTATTAAATTTCCTGCCATGCCTGGAAACAATCAACAGTGACAATGGATGGCACTCCTGCACTTACCAGGGAACTGACCCTAGCTGTCTCTGACCCAGACCAATCAACGACCAGTGCAGCAAACTCTCTTTATTTTGAATTGCTGTTGTTATTGTTGTTCATTTGTTCAGTCGTCTGCGACTCTTCGTGACCTCATGGACCAGCCCACGCCAGAGCTCCCCGTCGGCCGTCACCACCCCCAGCTCCTTCAAGGTCAGTCCAGTCACTTCAAGGATGCCATCCATCCATCTTGCCCTTGGTCGGCCCCTCTTCCTTTTGCCTTCCACTTTCCCCAGCATAATTGTCTTCTCTAGGCTTTCCTGTCTCCTCATGATGTGGCCAAAGTACTTCAACTTTGTCTCTGGTATCCTTCCCTCCAGTGAGCAGTCGGGCTTTATTTCCTGGAGGATGAACTGGTTGGATCTTCTCGCAGTCCAAGGCACTCTCATGACTTTCCTCCAACACTACTGTTCAAAAGCATCTATCTTCCTTCGCTCAGCCTTCCCTAAGGTCCAGCTCTCACATCCGTAGGTTACTA